AAAATGCATGGGGGTTTGGACAAGATCAGGGGTTCTCCACCTTTTTTGTCATGGACCCTTTTGACAATCTGACCAAGTCTGTAGACGCCTTCTCAGAAGAATGTTTGTGGCCTATACATGAAAGGAAATGCTAAATTCCAGTTAGAGGTTAGTGAAAATAAAGATGTATACTTTTTTCCTCTCTAAGTATATGGACCCCCTAAAATCTGCCTGTGGACCCTTTGATGAACAATCCTTGGATTAGGTGACCTCTAATGCTTCTGACATTGTAGGTTTGAGGGCTCTTCCAAGTCTAATATTCTGTGTTCTACGGTTCCTATCAGTTCTGACATTACATATTCTAAGGTCCTTCTTGGTTCTAGCATTTTATGTTCCAAGTGCCCTCCCAGCTTTAACATTTTACGTTCCAAGGACTCTTTCCAGTCTTACATTCTGTTCTCTGACATCCTATGTTCTAAGGGCCCTCCCAGCCCTGACATTCTGTGCTCCAAGGGCCCTCCCAGTTCCAAAGTTCAATGATTCCAACATTATATGTCCCTTAAGACAGACAAGCCCACAGCTGGTTCAGTGAACATGTCCAACAGCAGGCAGGAAAGGATGTCTCTCTTCTTTGATCTCTTTGTGGGGGTCAGTATATTGCTGCAAGCTCTGGCCTCTCACTTGCCTGGGGCTGTTATTTCAGTAATGACAGAGAATATGTATACTCTAAGTATTCATTCTTCCTTCAGTTAAAGTACTTTGAGTTACCTGGGGGGTGAAATGGGCTCTGTCTCTGTGTATAGGGCTAATAAACAACAGACATAAAGGAAGTGTTATGAAGCATTCACATCCATTACAGAAGCCTGTCACTAATTAAAAAAAAAAAAAGGTACCCTCTTCCCCAGTAGGGCAATTCAATCCGACCCAACCCTGCCCAGGGCTATGCCAGGATATAAAGAACACATAAGACATGAGAGGCAGCCTGGAATAATGAAAAGTAAACTAGAACCAGTTAGAAGACCTGAATTCCAGGCTCAGCTCTGCGGCTGGCTGGCTGTGAGACCTTGGGCAAGTTAATTTTCCCTCGATTGGGCCTCAGTTTCTCCATCTGTAAAAATGAAGGGACTAGAATAAATGTTTAAGGTCTCTTGTATTTCCTACGTCACAGTCCCTTCTCTCAGGGGGTTATTAACCAATGGTCACAAGTTTTCTAGAGCTGGAAGGGAGCTTACATTGCACCTTGTGAGACGAAACCCTTCCTGTTACAGATGAGAAAACTGAGGCCCACAGAGACTAGTCCAAATTCCCACCGCTAGTTAGTGGCAGAATTGGGATGCATACATAGAATGTAAGTTCCTTGAAGGCAGGGACATTTCACTTTTGTTTTTGCAGCCTTCCATATCTAGTCAATGCCTGGCACGTGCTAGGTGCTTAAGGAATGATTGTTGATAGACACTGATTGCCTATCCCCGGCCCTTTCCACTGTGCCTCACCATTTAATAAGTCACCTGACCTTTCCCAGGAGGCCTTTCTGAGGCTAACAGCTCCATCCATCAGAGGTGCCCCGGGGAGCTAAGAGCAGGCAATTCCTAGCCTGCTCAAAAGAGACAGCCTCAATCTTTGAGCTCCGTGCTTGGGGCTGAACAGGAACAGGTTTCATCCTTTCTAGCAGCATTTGACGGCATTGTATCTGGGGAAAGACTGGATAGACCTACAGAAAAAGCAAGCTAAAAATTCTGGATGTTGTTTGGGAGTCTGTTAAGTCCCAGGGCAGCAAGGGTGAGGAGAAGTCCTCTTTCTCTCCTTCCAACTACATTTACTTTTCCTCTAGAAGTGAACTGAATTCTTTAGGCAAAATATATGCTCTGCCATGTCTGGTCTCTGCAAATATTAGGTGATAAAACTATAGTCATGTCTCACAAAGCCGGGGGGTCACTTCTCCAGCCTTACTAACTTAGTCCAAAACACAATTAGGGAAGCATACAAAGGGCAGACATCTGGGGATGAATGATGCCATAGTACTGCCTAAATAGACATTCTTTCCCTCCGAGCCGAATTACTCATAATTTGCACACAATATGAATAAGCTTGGTTGTATGGTTCTCTAGCTCATATTAGAAGTGGGGGAGCTCAGCAATTTGAATTAAGCCGGAGAGGTGATAGTGGATACCTTCAGTCTGGGAGGAGGCAGAAAAGTATAAAGAACAGACACAAAGTCTCAAAGAGCCCAGCAGGCTGGGGAAGGGGTAAACAGCTCCACATGCTTCAGCAGCCCCTGAAGTCATCACTATACTCCCAGAAAGTATATTTCGTGATCCTTAAAATGATCAGAGATTCAGAACTGAAAGGAACCTCTGAAGGCTCTCATCTCCCCGCTCTTTGAAGCATGAATTATCATTTACCTCTCCATCCCCTTAAAATAGACACCTGCTAAAGAGGACAACTCACTATCTTGTAGGGCAGCCCTTCTATTTTCAGACAGATCCTGCTTGGCTCATCCAAAAGGAAAAAAAAAAGGTTATATTCTGTTCAGTCTCCTCGAATTTAAAAGAGAGAGATACATAACCTATTTTTAGATAGATTTCATCCACACTAATGAAAGTTTTAAAAAAAAGTTTTGGTGCTCATAGGAATTAGGTCCAATTTTCTCTGGCAGCCTCCCTGAATAGGTGGGATGCATGAGGCTGCGAGTGATGACCGTGCGGAGGAATGGCCTTCAGTTTGCAGTTACCCCTTCACTTAGTCTCATTTCCAAGCCCCTGAACCACAGAGTACAAGGCCCAGCCTGCGGATAATGATGCCAAATGACAGAGAAATAAGAACCCTGGAGTGAGAACTGGAAGGCTGGGGTTCAAGTCTCTGTCCTTCTATTAATTCATGATGTTACCCTGGGCAAGTCCTTTCCACTCTCAGGCCGTTTACCAAAATGAGGAGATTGCTCTAGGTGATCTCTAAGGCTCTGTTCGGCTCTGGACCTTTTGCTTACAAAGCTCTAAGTCCTAAGGCTGCCATTAGAGTCTAGGAAACCTTAAATAGCAAGAGTAATTAGGAGATATTATATGTGTGTGTATGTGTGGGCACATACGTGTATATACATACATGGCATATGTATGCATATATATACACATATACGTATATACATGTGTGTATGTGTGTGTGGGGGAGAGAGAGGCAGTGTGGCCTACAAGTACGGCCTTGGGTTCAGGAAGAGCTGGGTTCGAGTCCTACCTATGACCCATATTTAAGGGCTGAAAAACCAGAAGCAAGTCATGTAACTTCTCAGGGCCCATCTGCATTGCTGGAGGGAGTTTACACATCAATACCAATCCTCCCCCATTGAAGTACCAAATCTAGAATAATAATAATAATGATGATGTACAATTGTGTTACAAGAAACAAGACCCTCCATTAAGACGGGTGTGTCTGCGAAGGAAGGGGAGGCACTGTTATACTGTGCCCTGGCAGTATATGATTGAAATGGGCCTAGCCTGATTCTTCTGCTGAAGTCATGGGAAACAGCTAGCCTCACTTAGGGACAGCTCTAGCATCAGCCTGGGTAGGTCTGTGTCTGATGGTTGAATTCAAGGAGGGAAGCAATTCCCGGGCTAGGATCCATGGAATCCAAAGTTTGGGGATCTCAGGATGACCCAGCTCCTTGGGAGAGACCAACAAAGTAAAGGACGCTTTGCCATTAACATTCTATGTGATTTCTTAGTTTCCTCATCTATAAAATGGGGTGATTGGATAAGATTCTGAAATCTCTCCTAGGATCCTAGTAAAAATTTCTAGAGTTTTTCTAGAATGCTTTAAGCTTTGCCAAGCAAAAAAAAAATGCCCAACTTTATGAAGTAGGTGTTGAAAATTAGTAGCAATGTGGTGTAATAGATATTGAGCTGACGTTGGAGTAAGACACAGGTTTGAGTCTCAATTTTGACATATTGTGTGACCCTGGATAAATCACTTCACCCACAGCCCCAAACAACTCTTTTATGAGTATAAAATAGAAAGATACTAATTCGCACTGGTAGAGAAGTTTTTCTTACTCAGAATTCCCTAGAGCAACATTCTTACAGTGTAGGTCCATGACCAGAGTCCCTTTCAGGAGATCCTTGAGATCAAAACTGTTTTTATAATAATACTAAGATATTATTTGCCTAGTAAGATACTCCTAGCTTTTCCAACTCCATAGCTAAATAAGGCCAAATTTTCTTCATATACTTCAACCAAAACAACATATTGCAACAGATCAAATGTAGAAGCAGATAGGAGAACCCACTTGTCATCTATAAAGCCAGACATTAAGGAGATTTGCAAAAATATGCACTCCTCTCACTAAAATTTGTTTTAGAAGATAGACTTATTTTTCATTAAAATGTTATGTTGGGGCAGCTAGGTGCTGCAGTGGATAGAGCACCAGCCCTGAAGTCAGGAGGACCTGAGTTCAAATCCAGCCTCAGACACATAATATTTCCTAGCTGTATGACTCTGGGCAAGTCACTTAACCCCAATTGCCTCACAAAAAAAAAAGAGTTATGTTAACATATAATGGGCCCTCCCAGTTCTGACATCCTGTGTTCTAAGGTCTCTCCCAGCTCTGACATCCTGGGTTCTAAGGTCTCTCCCAGCTCTGACATCCTGGGTTCTAATGACCCTCCCAGCTCTGACATCCTGTGTTCTAAGGTCTCTCCCAGCTCTGACATCCTGGGTTCTAAGGTCTCTCCCAGCTCTGACATCCTGGGTTCTAAGGTCTCTCCCAGCTCTGACATCCTGGGTTCTAAGGTCTCTCCCAGCTCTGACATCCTGGGTTCTAAGGTCTCTCCCAGCTCTGACATCCTGGGTTCTAGGGTGTCTCCCAGCCCTGACATCCTGGGTTCTAATGACCCTCCCAGCCCTGACATCCTGGGTTCTAAGGTCTCTCCCAGCCTGACATCCTGGGTTCTAAGGTCTCTCCCAGCCCTGACATCCTGGGTTCTAAGGTCTCTCCCAGCTCTGACATCCTGGGTTCTAAGGTCTCTCCCAGCTCTGACATCCTGGGTTCTAAGGTCTCTCCCAGCTCTGACATCCTGGGTTCTAAGGTCTCTCCCAGCCTGGATGTTCTATTACTCTATTAAACAAAGAGAAAGACTTATACCTGCTTCCAAAGTTGTGGAATTGAGAGGCCAGACATAAGCCAGGAATGGTGTCACGGCAGAGATCTGATCTTCACAGACTGTGGCACATTCGTGCTTTGGGATCTCCTCACTGGGGTTAAAGCTTTGTCCTTTGTGGGTGGGTTTGGATTTGGGGAACTGCTTCTGGTGAATAAGGTAGAGAATCCGACTGAACAAAAAGGGGGGATCTGGTTTGGGTTTGCAGAATGCTTCCACACAACATCATCTCGTTTGATCTCCTGCCTCCAAGCATTTGCATTTCTTGTGCCCAGAATCTTCTCCTTCCTCACCTCCATTTTTAATAACCCCTTTGTTCTTTTCAAGTCTCAGCTCAAATACCACCTGTTAGTGTTCTGACCTGGAAATCAGTCATATACATAAAACTGACTACTTCTGAGGTCCCTTCCATCTCTCTATCCATGATCCCATGAATTGAAGAACCTTATTATGTAGGCAGGGCAGATTATTACCAACCTCATTTTATCTTAGCAACAGGAAACTGTCCCTAAAAAGGGAAATGACTTGCTTAAGGTCATCCTGTGAATCAATGCTGAACCGCAGCTCTAATCTCTACATCAATGCCTATGTAAGGAGATGGTTCGTGTTATGTGGTCTGTGCACTGGTGCCAGAAGCCATTCCCAAATTCTCATGGAAATAAGAGTGAAGCCTGACAAGGGGATGACTTATGGCCAACTTCTGACCTACTTGTCAAAGAACCGATCTTGTTGGCTGACCCAGCTGCCACAGGAGCCTGATACATTCAGGGCCACACTTGCTTCCAGGGCTTCTTTGCACTAGGAGAAAACACCTTTTACTCCAGGCCTGCTCTGATCTAGACCTGATGAGACCAAACGGACCGGCTCTCTGGGGGTGGGAGGTCTGAGGCAGGACTCACTTAGGCTTGTTGCTGGGATACATGATTCTTTGAATCACTCCCCTCCCCTTTCCTCCTCAAAATCTTCCAAAAAATCCTCCATCCCGGGAGCTTGAGTCACCTCTAGAGAGGCAGAGAACTGTAACACACCAAAGACCTTTGGATCTGGAATCCTCCCCCTAAACACAAGAACTCAAGGCCCCTACAGGAAGATCCACCTCCCTGCCCTGCTGTCCTTTCCCCCATGGAGCTACAGCAAATCACAGAAAGTCAGAGCTGCAAGGAACCTTGGAGAGTATTGAGTACCACCCTCTCACTTTGCAGATGAAGAACCTGAGGCTTAGAGAAACAAACTCATTTTTACACACACACACACACACACACACACACACACACACACACTGAATCAGTGGCACATTCAAGAAGAGAAACCAGGCAGAAACTAGGACCTTAGAGCTAGAAATCATTTAGTTCACCACCCACCCACCCATTTTACTGAGGGGAAAAGTGAGGTCCAGAAAGGATGCAGCACAACAGAAAGAGTGCTGGATTTGGAAGGAGGCTTTGGGTTCAAATCTAGCTTTGTCACTCATGACATATGTGAGCTTAGGCAGACCCTTTCCTCTCTCTGGGCCTCAGTTTCCTCATCTGTAAAACAAGAGGTTGACTCACTGGTCTCTAAAGTCACTTCCAGCTGTAGAGCTACAATCTTAGTTAATGGGTCTTGATTTTAGGGCACATTGCCTTGTCCAGGCACCCTGCTCCTCAGCAGAAGAAGGGAAGCCACACCTCCTGAAGCCCAGTCCAGAGCGCTTTGCACTGCCCCTCGTGGCTTCCAGCAGCTCCACTATCTTGTTTTCCTTGTGGTGATCCGCTCCCCATTTTACCATTCCTGCTCCAGACAGAATCAGGGGGACAGCACTGAGAATCCATCAACTCATTCTCCATGATGCTCCCAGTGTATGAATCTAGGTCAACCTGTTTTCGCTCAGAGAAAGTAATAGGTGTCTGGTCCTCTGAACAAAGTATAGCATTGATAAGTTTCCAGTCTGGTGTGTGACCTTGGGCAAGTCTCAGGACACCTCCTTGGGCCTCACTTTGTCCATCTGTCAAATGGGAGGGAGGAGTGGGCTAACAGGTTTAGGTAGTTCCTTTCAAGCACTCTCATACCACACAGGTTGCTGACTCTCTGTGTCTGTCTCCTTGGGTGAAGAATTCAGACTGTGAGGAAGGGCTTATGCAGGTGACGGCTTTGGTCCATCCTTTACATTCAGGGTCCTCCTCCTTTGGCCAGGGTGAGTAGTTTCCCTTCATTTCCCCAGCAAGGGCAGTGTCCTCCTTCCTGAGTCCATTCAACGTGAGCTACCCTTCAAAGCTATTCCAATCTGCAGAAAAGCTTTGAAGCCATTGCGAGGGGAAATGAAGGCAGCTCAGGGCGGTTCGTGGGTGGGTCTGGCTCCAGGGATACTCCCTTCTCCTCCCCGCTTCTCCCTTGTCCAGTCTGAATCCCCTGGCACCCCGCAGACGTGGAATGTCCACCTTCCCCCTCCTCCCTTCCAACAGATGGACACTCAGCCTCTAGCTTTCCCGGAGGCTGCTGTACTGAAGTTCAGTGTTGAAAACTTCCTTGTAGAGCGGGGGGAAGAGACGAGCTGTTTCTGGGTGCAGGAGGCGGAAACATTCCAGCTTGTCCAGGTGGAGGCGGCAGATAGCTTTCAACAGAGGCAGCTTGGAGATTAGCTACACAGGAAGAAAGTCGAAAGTCATCAGGATGGATTAGGGATGGCCCAAACCCTCCCTTCCTCGTCAGCTAGGTGAAGCAGAGGATAGAACCCTCCCAAGTTCAAATCCTGCCTCAGACATTTATTAGCTAACTGACCCTCGGCAAGGGCATGATTTCATTTACCCTCTGTCTGCCTCAGTTTCCTCAACTGTGAAATAGGGTTAATAATAACACCTACCTCCCAGGGTTGTTGTGACAAATGAGATGAAATTTGTAAAGTGTTTAGCACAGTGCCTGACACATAGTAGGTGTTTAATAAATGCTTATTCCCTCCGTTCCCTCTTAGTTGGCAGTTGTCAGGTCGGTCATACCTATAGCACATCCCAATGCGTGCGCACGCACACACACACACACACACACACACGCACAACTTTTTGCTAATGACAGCAATTCTACAAGGTGTGCAAGGCAAGGGTCACTATTTCCATTTCATCGATGAGAAAACTGAAGCTCACATTGGGGAAGGAACCGGCCCACGGCCACACAACCAGAGTCAGAGCCGTTAAAACCCAGGTCTCTTTCATGCCAGTGATTTCCACTCCCTCAATACCATGTGCTGAAAGTTCCCTGCAGTCACGCAAACAAAGGGATACATAGCAGCATGGGAGGCTTCAGCAAATGTCTATTTAACACTTACTGCATTCTGTTTACCACCCAATGCACTAATACAAAAACTTGTTGATTGAAAAATTTGCCGATTAAAAATAATCCAGGGTTTTAGAATTTGGCAAGCTAGGTTTGAATCCAAAGGTCCACTACACTTTCTAGTACGAGCTGAGAAAGTAGCTTCACTCTCTGGTACTTAGCACAGTTTTTGACACTTAGTAGATGCTTAATAACTACTTGTTGATTTGACTCTCTGAGCCTTGAGTTCTTTATCTGTAAAATGGGGTGAGTAACACCAGCCCTATCTACCTCACTGGGCACTTGTTCTGGAAATCATTCCATAAATCATAATATGTTATGCAGGTTAGGCCATTAATTCTTCTAAATAATTATCTTGAAGCATTATTAAGTGAATGATAATAAAGAAGACAAAATTTCTGCCCTTAGGAGCTTACAGTCTAGCAATGGGGTACAAAGCATGTGATAGAAAATGATGCCTCCTAAGTGCATAGCAGAGGTGAAGGGTGAGGCTGGACCAGGAGATAAGGTTTATTCCTGGCTGGGGCCATCAGGGGAAGTATCCTAGAGGAGAAGGGATTTGAGCTGAGCCTCAAAGGATGGGCAGGATTTCAACAGGAGGAGATATCAGGGTGGGGGAAAAGTGGGCAGAAGAGGGTGGCATTCTAGGCATGAAGAGGTTATTTGGTGTTGGGCTGGTGAACTGGACACAGGAAGAGGACACCGTTGCTGAGTCCGGGTTTGGCACGTCCTCAGCATAGCCCTGCTGATGACCAGCCAGCACCCGTGGGTGGCAGGAAGCGGCCCACAGTTACGTTGGGTTCATGACCACCTCCCTGTCCCCCCACGTCTCCACGCCCCCTTGTCCCAACGGCTCTACCTTGGATAGCCTGTCTTCTGGAGAAGGCTGCTTCTGGATCTCATGCTGCAAAGCAAGGAAGATCTGGTCCTGGAGACTCTGCACCTTCTTCGCCTCAAGGAGCCAGGGTCGGTCTGCCGGGTACAGGAGGAATGAACGCCAGGGCAAGCAGGAGAAAACAGGTTATTAGGAGCTTCTAAAGGTCGGAAGACAAGAAACCTGGGTTCTAGTACCTGCTCTGGTACTGATTCAATACATGATGTTGGACATATCTCTGGTCCTCTGTGGGCCTCAGTTTCCCCATTTGTAAAATGAGAAGGTTGGACTTGACCAACCTTCTTTGAGCCCTGGACTTGACTCCTTGGCAGAATGAATGCGTTAAATGCCTTAAATACAAGGGATTATAAAGGAGATCAAAGGTATTGAAATATAGTTATCAAATTATCTTTTAAAAGCAAGTTCATGGACTCCAGGTTAAGAAGTCTTGAATGAAATGGTCTGAAGTCTCTTCCAGCTCTAAGATTTTGGGCACTGAACAGTTGAAAGAACTCTGAACCTGGAATACTGAATTTGGAGTCTTAGGACCTGCGTTCAAATCTATGTTCTACCATTTATTATCTTTATCACTTTGAGAAAGTCACTTCTCTCCGGGCCTCAGTTTCCTTATCTGTAAAATGAGGAATTTGGACTAGACGGCCTCAGAGGTCTCATCTGGCTCTAGAAATAGAGCCCAAAATCTTATGATCTTAATAGAGTCACAATGCCCCAAATGGGGAGGAAGTCAATGTTGTCATTGTCTAGCCCTAGTTTGACCCTGTGTAGGGTGTCCTGAGCGGTTCTGCATTCAGCATTTTAGGAAGGACCCTGAAGAACTGGAATGTGTCCAGATGAGAAAGAACAAACTAGAGAGAAAGGTGGAAAGCCTGTGATAGGAAGATCGTGGAGAGAACGTGGAGATGGGTAGCTGGGAAAAGAGGAGCCTTCAGGGTGACAGGATGGCTGTCTTCAGGCGTTTGAAGGGTTGGCTCTTTTGGGTCACAGTGGGAAAAACAGGGAGCAAAGAGCGGAAGATACAGAGGGGCAGGTTTTAGTTCTTCACATAGAAGAATGTCTAACAAAACAAAAGTGCATGGGCCACTTCAGAAGCACCACAGGGGCTAGGTAATGATTGGTTGGGAATATTGTGGAAGGGAATTCTGTTCAGGTTGAAGCAGACGGCAGCTGAGGTGTCTCCAAGCTCAGAAACTCCGTGATTCGGATTCTATGTTCCAGGCTCCCAGCTTTATCAGTCCATGTCCTAAGGGCCCTCCCAGCTCTGACACCCTGTGTTCTGAGGGCCCTCCCAGCTCTGACATCCTGTGTTCTGAGGGCCCTCCCAGCTCTGACATCCTGTGATCTGAGGGCCCTCCCAGCTCTGACACTCTGTGTTCTGAGGGCCCTCCCAGCTCTGACACTCTGTGTTCTGAGGGCCCTCCCAGCTGTGACACTCTGTGTTCTGAGGGCCCTCCCAGCTCTGACATTCTGGGTTCTGAGGGCCCTCCCAGCTGTGACACTCTGTGTTCTAAGGGTCCTTCCAGTTCTGATATCCTGTGTTCTGAGGGCCCCCCCAATTCCTTGACATTCTCTGCTCTAAGGTCCCTTCCAGCTGACATCTCATATCCTATGAATAACTGTCGTTCTCCAAGGACACATCAATCTGTCCAGGACCACCCAGCTTCATTACCTGGGGACAACAGGACAGCCGCTGTGAACAGGGCAATTTCCTCATCTGACAGCTGCAGACGACACAGTCCCCTTTCCAATTCAAAGATGGCCCCAATCAAGTCATCACAGGCTGGGAGAGACATAGGCAGGAGACAGAGAGCACGGGTGGAAGAGAGGAATATGTGAGCTCTGGGGCTGGTGCCCACAGTTGACCTCAATCCCATGCTGATTTCCAGCCTGCTTTGAGGGTCAGACTTCCCTTTGGCCCCATCTCCAGTAAGGAAAGGAAGTAGGAAATGTTGATACCCAACCCCCAATGCCAAGTGGAGGCCCCAGGTCCAGGGAGGCAGTGGGATTGAATGGGGAGAGCATGACACTACAGTCAGAAATGGAGCTGGATTCAAATCTCAGCTCCGTGTGGCCCTAATGCACCCAAGGCTCCCTTGCAGCAGGGCCTTGCTTTTTGGCTTGCTAGATCTGTGCTGATGTTAGTGGATGCCTAGGGAGTAAATACAAGCCCCCTTCTCTCCTTGGAGAGAAGAGGGCAGGAAGTACAGCAGCCCATGTTCACAGATGCCATTTTGGATGCTGGGGCAGAGGCCTCAAAACCTTGTTGGGAAGGTCTCCATCAGCCTAAGAGGCTTCCTTACCCAAGGCCTTGAACATCTGTATCCCTCCAAATTTGCCATCAAAGAGCACAGTATTATTCAAAGGATTGAAGACCCGAACCATCCGGATCAGCAGGACTTCTAGGCAACCTGAGACAGGCAAAGGGAGAAAACAAAGAAGGAAGGGAGGGAGCTGATCCCAGCTGGGAGCCCAGCACCACCCTTCTCACACCCCCACCCCCAGAGGCAAAATACATTTTTTTTTTATGCTAGGCAATGGAGTTAAGTGACTTGCCCAGGGTCACACAGCTAGTAAGTGTCAAGTGTCTGAGGTCAACTTTGAACTCAGGTCCTCCTGACTCCAGGGCAGGTACTCTATCCACCGCGCCACCTAGCTACCCCAAAAATACATTTTAAAAGCTATGCTTTGATCTGGAATCTAAGTGCATTTGAAAAAAGGAAACAACCCTCAAATGAGGATTTATTAAGCACCTGGAGTGTGCTGGGGGAGGGGGAGCTCTTCTAGATTGTGGTTTGAGGGGAGAGAAGGGAAAGCCATGAGCCTACCTTTGAGGAGAGCTCACAGTGTGGTGGGACAGAGAAAAGACTCACTCTCATACATGAACAAAACAGTTATTTAATAACAGAAGATGTGGTAGAGTTAGGGTTGGGGTATGCAGAAGGCACTCAGTAAATGCACAGCCTGGATATGTACACAGGCAATATGTACATAGCCTGTGATAATTCACTACTTGAAGTAGTAAGCATTCCATCACCGGACGTATTAAAGCAAGAAACCATCAGGAAGGCAGCTGAGGTGGTTTCTTGCAAGTCTAATCAGAGGGCCTTTAAGGTCCCTTCTAGCCCTGAGGCACCCTGGAGTAACCAGAGAAAAGATCTGGATTTTGGAGCCAGAAGATCTGGTTTTGAGCCTTGCTTCTGTTACTGCCTGTGTGACCTTGGTCAGTTTCCTTTGCCTATCTGGCCCTCAGTGTCCTCATCTGTAAAATGAATGAGTTGTACTGGACGATCTCTAAGTTCTTGCAATTTAAAGCTTGAAGATGCCAAGAGCTGGGATTCCAAGAGTTACAATTCCAGGCTTCCTGGCCAGGAGAAAAGGAGGGTCAGGGCCCAGGCCTTCGGGGATTCACCTGCTTTGAGTAGGATGATCTGGTCATTCTGGTCAAGATCCATGAAGCCGCAGATACGCTTGGCAAACTCCACCACGAACTGGATGGCATTGGAGATCTGCATCGAACACTGTTGCCACAGGACCTCACAAGGCTGGGGAGAACCGGGGATGGGATCAGGCTTGCAGGCTTTGCTCCCCTTCCCTGACCCATCCTGATCCCCCTCCTTTTGCACCTGGACCTGAACAATCACAGACCAGATTCCAGGCCTCTAGCCTAGAACTGTCTATATGATAATTTTTATGGATGTGCAGATCTTGAATTTTATTGTTCTATCCTGATCTTGGATTTATTTAGGGAACTTCTGGTGAGAAAACTCCCTGACTGCTAACTCTTCTATAATTTATAGTCTTGAGAGAATTGTTGAAGACCTTGAGAGGTCAAGTGAGTTGCCCTGGGTCACAGAGCATTATGTCAGAGATGGGCCTGGAACTCAGGTCTTCCTGGAATGCCACTCACCTCCTGACAGAGAGGTAAGGGACTCAGGGTCCAGAATAAGACACATATTCCTAGACATGGCCAGTGTGGGAATTCATTTTGCTTGACTATGAATATTTGTTACAATGGTTTTATGTTATTTTGTCTTTCCACTGGGGGGGGGGAGGTAAGAGGGAGAGAAAATAATTTCTTGTTAATTAAAAAATTAATTAAAAATTTTAAAAAGTAAAAAGAATGCTGGACCTCCTTTCCATCTTTGAAAAGTCAGGAAAGTAGGGGTCTGGACTATTGCCTATATCTCAGACTTGGTTAATACTCTAGTTTTGCTGGACTGCTTTTTTGCTTTTTCTTTTTAAAAAATTCTTTTATGGGAAGCAGCTGGCAGTGTAAGATATATTGGGAAATGAAAGTGAAGCCCAAAAAAAAAAACCCAATTAAAAAGAAAAGAAAAGTAAATCAGATCTGGTTTTGAATACCAGCTCTGTCACTTCCTAGCCCTGTTATCCCAGAAAAATCCTTTCACATCTCTGAGTCTCAGTGTCCTCCTCTGTCAAATGGGTATAACAATCCTTGTAGTCTCTGAGGGCTGTGGAGAGAAAATCACTTTGTAAATCTTAAAGCAGTATAGGAATAGGAGCTATTATTTTGCCATGTTTGCTTTTAACCCTATGGACACCTCCTTCAAAGACCACAGTGTCTCAGGTATAGCCTTAGTAGCTAGTATTCATGAATTGCTATAGCCATAGACGAGTCTCCTCAGTCCTCAGCTTCACAGATAGTCTGTACCCCACCAGGCTTTCATCAGGAGGACTGAGATTGGAGTCCACACTTACTTACTGGCTGTGTGACTTTGGATAAGTTACTTAATCTCTCTTGGTCTCAGAGAGGCCTCCTCCTCTGTTTCCTCTTCTGTAAAATGGGGAGATTAGGACTTTTAGGTCCCTTCTGCCCCTAGATCTATGATACTATCACCCAACTGGTGTCAGGCCTGGAGTCAGGAAGACCTGAGTTTGAATCTAGCCTTACAGACTTCCTAGCTATGTGGCCCTGAGCAAGTCACTTAACTTCTTTGCCCTCAATTTCCCCACCTGTAAAATAGGGATAATAATAGCACCTACCTTCCAGGGTTGTTGTGAGGTTCAAATGAGATAATAACGGTAAAGTGCTTTTTAGCGCAGTGCCTGGCACATAGTAGGTACTTTTAAAATGTTAGTTGTTATTATTAAATCCCATAATCTGTTAAGATCTTATTATTTCCAGGCAGCTAGGTGGCAACAGCGGATAGAGCTAGGGCCCTGAAGTCAGTAGGACCAGAGTTGAAATCCAATCAATCCAGTCTCAGACACTTACTAGCTTATGTGACTGGGGGCTAGTCAGTTAATCCTGATTACCTCAAAAAAAAAAAGATCTTATTGTTGCATATAAAATTAAATAAAATCACAAATGGTTCATTTTGCTGATCTGCTTCTCCTTACCCCTCTTTTACTTTTTGTTCCAGGGGACAGGAGACAAAAGAAACACACAAAAGAAAAACGTATGCAAAAAAAGTATATAAAACATTAAAAGAGATTCAATTATGGTTTCAAAATATATAGATAAAAATTTTTTAATTGTATAAGACCATTAGTGATTACATTGGAAAATATTTCTTTTGATTTCTTGCTATGTCGTAGGATTACAGTATCTTGGTTGTTCAAGCTATTTTAAAAAATTCCTTTCTTGGACCCCATCTGCATGCTCTATCCCCTCCCCCCTTCCATGGCTGAGGAAGGGAGGGGGAGCTTTGCTACCAGAAAGAAGAGGAAGCATGGATGTTGTGGCTAGCCCAAGAGGGTCTAGGTCACAGGGGTGGGGAACCTTCGGCCTCGAGGCCACATATGACCTCCCAGGTCCTTGGGTGCGGCCTTTTGACTGAGTCCAAGTTTTACAGAACAAATCCTTTTATTAACGGGATTTGTTCTGTTAAGTCTGGATTCAGTCAAAGGACTGCACTGGTCCTGGTTCAGCGAGTGCATGCATATAGGAGAGCAGTTTTGAACTCAGTATGAGGAAGGACTTTCTGATAAACCAGCTGTTAGATAATAGAAAAGGATGTCTGACAGGAAAGGGGGAAGGAAAATGAGTTCTCTGTCTCTGAAAGTATTCAGAGTTTGCAACCTTGTAGGGATGATGTATAGAGAATATTAAAAGGATCAAAAACTCCCCCTGACTGCCTCCCATGACTTCTAATGATCCTTACAGCTCTAAGATTTTGGTTGGGAGAAATCTGTGAATTCACTGGGGGTAAGGGAGCTCCTGGTAAGAAATTCCCTCTACCAAGCTAGAAGGACCTTAGAAGTCGTCAAGTCCAACAGCCTCATTTAGAGAAAACTGAGTCCCAAAGAGGTTAAGGGTCACACAGGCAGTATATGTCAGAGATAGGGCTTGAACCCAGGGCTTGCTGACTGCCTAGGCGAGTACTCCAGCTCTAACCTCTGAAGAGTTTGTAAAGCTAGCCCTAGGGGACTAGTTAGTGATGGATTGGAAGAGTGGACCAGCAGGACAGAAGACAAAAGTAGGGGCCCTACCTTTGCCTGCAGGCTGCACAGCTCCTCCTGGGTGTGCTGGGCCCATGCTAGCCTCTTCAGCTCTTCTGTTGTATACTGGCAGGTCTCCCGGTGGGACCTGATGACATTCTGGGCCACTCGCTCTGTATGGGGGAAGGAGACCTTTACATGAATATCCTTCCATGCTCTGTTAGCCTCTCTCTGCCACAAGCTTCTCCTCTCTTCCCTCCTTCTCATCCTGGGTGATTCTGCCAATGTCCTTCCCTAAATCTCTCATGAGGGATCTGTCCCAAGGTACTGGACGCTTTCCTCTGGCCCTTTTAATATATTTTTTTTAGGATATTATTAACACAAAGAACAATCAGCCTCTGAGACCTATAGTCTATAAGACCTTGGACAAGCCATTTCATTTCTTTCTCCCCCCCCATCTGTTGATAGCAGAGAAAGTGCTATCGTTAGAGGGAGTTTATCACCAGGGGCTCCTTGCACTGATGAAATCATAAGCCTGATTTTTAAAAAAGAGTATAATTACATCAACCACAACAATAGCCATTATATCAAATTGCTTGCCTTCTCAAGGAGGAGGGAAGAGAAGGAAGGAGAGAATTTGGAACTCAAATTTTTAAAAAAATGAATGTAAAAAATTTTTGTTTACATGTAATTGAGAAAAAAATAAAATTCAAATAAAAAAACCCCTTTAATAATAGCCATCCTTTCTATGGCACCTTTGATTTTACAAAGAGCACTGACTATTCTTCGTAAATAAGTTGAGCAGTGGATAGAGCATTGGACTTGGAGCTAGGAAGATCTGAGTTCCAATCCTGCCTCATACACTTACTAGATCCTAGGCGAGTCAGTTTGCTCATCTGTAAAATGGGAATGATAGTAGCACCTGCCTCCTACTGTTGTGAGGATCAAAGGAGATAATACTCACAAAGTGCTTTGAAAACCCAAAAGCACTATGCAAATGATAGCTGTTATTGTAATGGTTCCGGTTGTGAGGGAGATAGTTCAATTTTCTTCCCTATTTACCAAGTAATGAAATAGGCTTAGAGAGGGAAGATATTCCCGCCAAAGTCACACAGCAAGTCAGGGATAGAGCCAGGATTTAAAGTCTAGACTTGTGGCTGTGAGATCACAGCTCTTTCAACTGCACCACGGGGCACTGAAGAACTGTTCAGATGCTCTTGGACAGAATAGGAGCAAACAGGACTGTAGGAGGCATGGAACTGTCCAAGGCAGCACCAATTTAAGTGACTACTAGGTGTAAGGCAAGAGCCATCTCCAGTGGTCCCGATCTGTATCTGGTCGCTGGACCCAGATGGCTCCGGAGGAGAAAGTGAGGCTGGTGACTTTGCACAGCCCTCCCTCATTCAAATCCAATTCACTTGCAAGTCACAGCATCATCTTCCTGCTGTCATGGTCCTCTTCGAGAAGGAAGGACAAACAACAACAGGTGTAAGGCAGAGTGGAGAACTGGCCTTGGGTCAGCTTATCTTTTTTTCCAGTCCCATCTTATATATATGTGTGTATGTAGGTAAATGCATGCATACGTGCATGCATGCATACATGTGTGCGTGTATGTTGGCTGTGTGATCCTAAGCAAGTCATTTCACATTTTAGTGCCCCAGGCAACTCTGCAAGACCGGAGTTCTTAACCTTTGGTCCCCAGCTTGGGAGGGTTGGGAGTGGGGTTCTGAGGAAAGATTGACAGTGTTTGTGAACTTTGATGGGGAAAAAAAATGCATCTTTTCTTTTTCACTACCTCTAACTGAAATTTAGCATTTCCCTCAATTATTTAAAAATGTTATTCTGAGAAGGGGCCCATAGGCTTCATCAGATTGTCAAAGGAGTCCGGGACACAAAAAGGGTTAAGAATCCCTGCTCTAAGTCCATAAGTTGCAGAACAGATTTTTATCTGCATTGGTAGGAGAAGTTTTCTCTTCAGGGAATTCACAGGTCCAACCCCACCTCTCCCAAAAAAGGGGGGCATATAAAACATTACATGAGGTGCTGGGAAGATACAGATAAAAAAAATTCGACAGTCTCTACCTACCACAATGTAAGTTTCCTTTCTAATTACATTCTACGATGAGAAGAAAAGGGACAAGGGTGAAAAGCCTTGGGCGCACACACAAACACATAAATACCCTTCAAAGAGCCCCTCTTTCTACTTCTGGTATATACCCCTAGACTTCTCCTATGCCCAGATCTCCAAAAGCCTTGCTCTCAGAAGAAATTGGGATCTTGCCCAGAGCCACTCCTCCTCTCTGTCTGTTGCTTTTCCTCATTAGATTGTAATCTTCTTGAGGCAAGGATTGCTTTGCCTAATTGCATTATTATTATTATTATTAAGAATTATTATTATTATATTCCTAGCACTTAGCTTAATCCTGGCACATAATTAGCACTTAATGAATTCTATCTATCTGTCTATCTATCTATCTATCTATCTATCTATCTATCTATCTATCTATCTATCTGTCTGTCTGTCTCTGTCTTATCTATCATTTATCTTTCTCACTATATTTATCTTCTATCTATCTATGTCTGTCTCTGTTTTACCTATCATTATCTCTCTCACTATCATCTATCCATCTATCTCTGTCTCTGTCTCTATCTATCTATCATCTCTCACTCTTATCCATCTGTCTATGTATCTCTATCTATCTATCTGTGTCTGTCTCATCTATCATCTATCTCTCTCACTATCTCTCTCACTATCTATCTATCTATCTATCTATCTATCTATCTATCTATCTATCTATGTCTGTCTCTGTCTTACCTATCATCTCTCTCTCTCACTATCATCTATCCATCTGTCTCTGTCTCTATCTTATCTATCATCTCTCACTATCATCTATCTGTCTATCTATCTATCTATGTATCTCTATCTATCTATCTATCTATCTATCTATCTATCTATCTATCTATATCTGTCTGTCTCTGTCTTATCTATCATCTATCTCTCTCACTATCTCTCTCACTATCTCTCTCACTATCTCTCTCACTATCTATCTATCTATCTATCTATCTATCTATCTATCTATTATCTATCTATCATCTATCTATTCATCCTCCCCCCAACCCTAGATATACCATTAATAGATCACAGCAGTATCGTGTAAAAGTCCCTAGACTGAAGAGTGAGATCTTGGCTCTGGGTCCAGCTCTGTCACTGCCTCACTTATATCCTTTCTACTCTCAGGACCTCAGTTTTCCCATCTGTAAAATGAGAAAGTTAGAACAGATGGTTCCTAAAGGTCCTTTCCATTCTGATGCTATGATCCTTTGGTCTCTCTCGGGGGTCCCTGGCACTAATAGGTGCCCAGGAGGCAGTTTGGAGGAGGCTCCCCTTTATGGGTCCCCTCCAACGACAATCCCAGACCCCAGTTCCAGCCCTCCTAAAAGGCCCATATGTCAACAGGGGATTTCTTTTAGCCTTGTTTCGATCTATTTATAATCTCAGCCTGTCCTACCTCAAGTTTGTTCCCTGCTGGGTAAGTAGGACAGCCAGAAACATGTCCTAAATTTTCTTCTTTCAGGCTTGAAGAGGGGGGTGGTGGCATTCATCCTAGAACTATGAGACTTAAGAAGCAAGGTCATGTCACCCTTGTTATCATCTTTGCAACTTTTACAAGTTCTGTGCCTTGAGGACAAGCCATTCAATCTCTCTCTGGGTCTCAGTTTTCCCTCAAGTCTAAAAAAGGGTAATTAGACATCTTCCAAAATCCCTTTGAGCTCTAAATCTTGATTCTATGAACTTTAGACTTTAATCCTAATTGCCTCTCAGATTTTGGCATTTAGTGTAAGAACAATGAGTTAGTCTGTTACCATGTGGCAGCCCTGGGGTCACAAGAGCTCCTGTGCTCCCCCCATACAAGGAGTAAGGAGCAGACAACCAGGACCGCACCTTAACCACTTGGGTGCAAGTACCCTCAGGATTTAGTCAAAGAGGAAGACAATGTTTGCCAAAAGGGCTTCGGACCAGGATCCCGGAGACCTTGAGAATCTTAGAGAGCATCTGCCAACCCAGTTCTAAGATTCTATAATCTGTTCCTCACTCTATGACACAGGAAGTAAGTAATGACTTTTCTCTGGGACTCATCTATAAAATGGCCCATGGGGTTGGACTTGGTGTTTTTGAAGGTCTCTTTCAGCTCTGACATTCTATGTCCTAAGGACCCTTTCAGCTTTGACATTCTGCGTTCTAAGGGCCCTCCCAGCTCTGACATTCTGTGCTCTAAGGGCCCTCCCATCTGACATCCTGGATTTTAAGGGCCCTCCCAGCTCTGACATCCTGTGTTCTAAGGACCCTCTCAGCTGTGACATCCTGTGTTCTAAGGACCCTCTCAGCTTTGACATTCTGTGTTCTAAGGGCCCTCCCAGCTCTGACATCCTGTGTTCTAAGGACCCTCTCAGCTTTGACATTCTGTGTTCTAAGGGCCCTCTCAGCTCTGACATCCTGTGTTCTAAGGACCCTCTCAGCTCTGACATCCTGTGTTCTAAGGGGCCTCCCAGCTCTGACATCCTGTGTTCTAAGGACTCTCTCAGCTTCGACATTCTGTGTTCTAAGGACTCTAACATTCTCTGTTCTAAGGGCCCATACAGTTCTGATATTCTATATTCTAATGTCCTTTTCCAGTATTGTGATTCTAGGATTCTCTGTGCACTGAAGAGATTATGGATGATAAAGATAGATCTTTTATTATCATTATTATTATCATTGTTATTATTACAAATGCACCTTGAAGGCACCAGTTTTCTATGGTTTGCCTGTGGATCAGGCTAAGGTCTCATCTCAGGCTGGCTTCGTCCCTTACCCCCAAGATCTCTCAGTCTGAGTATATCCCTCAAACCGTAATAGAAATACCTTGAACTGGACATGGTAAGAGATATCAGAAAACTAGGGCTTTTTCCTAGGGCCTCACACTTATATATTGGGCTGTGTCTCAAAGGCAAGGAGGCAACACCATCCCTCGACCTGGTATAAATGGCCTTGCGTGTTCTATTCATACAGTTAGCCTGTGGATTCCCACCACCATCACCAAGGTACAGTGGGTAGGGCCCATTTCTTCCCTTTCCCTGTCTGGTCACACAGCTGCTGCTCCACTTCTTACCTCCTCCCTTTTCACTGTCTCTCATACAAGAATGCGCTCCCTCCTTACCCTTTTCTCTCTTTTAGTCTTTTTTCTGTTTTACAGTCTCCTGTAAGACTCAGCTGAAGCCACACCTTCTTCATGAGCCCTTACCTGATCCCCCAGCTGCTGGTGCCTTATCCCCCAAATCACCTTGTATTGATTTTACATATGCAAGGGGTGGGGAACCTGTGGCCTCAGGGTCCTAGGTGGCCCTCTAGGTCCTCAAGGACCCACCCCTGGCACATACCTATATGAACCATGTTCTCCCTTGTAAATTCCCTAAAGGTGAAGACTATTGTTACTTTTGAATTTGTGTCCCTAGCACCTAGAAAATTCCTGGCAAATAGTAGGTGCTTAATAAATGCTTGTTGCTTGGTCAATGTTCTGTAACCTAATTTCTCCTTGTACATTGGGCATATGGGGGACAGACAGGGCAATTTGCCATAAACAGCCCCCACACTCCCCTCCACAAGCTGCCCGCTGCAGAAACCTTTAGAGGTCTTCACAGAGATGTTTCTAAGCCTCATCTCTATTCCAATGTATCATAAGAGGGTCCAAGGCTCACTTCTGCCATGCAATTCAAACCATCTGATGGGGGCAGGAAGTACACTTTTAGGTGGGCACATACTGACTTATCACGGCCATACTTCTATCAGGATGAGTTAAGAGTTCTCATATTCCTCAGAGGTGGTCCCCAAACCCTACCCCACTCCCAAGGGATAGACTAGGGATCCTCACTGGAGATAAACAGGCAGAGAGTAGCTCAGTTACAAATGACCTTGATACTCTTCCCTCCTTCCGTAGAGAAGATACAAAATGGAGGAAAGGCGATGAGACCAGAACAGATTATCCCTAGTTTCAACACCACCCCTCAATAGCCTTGTTATCACTGACCAATATCGCGATCAAGTGGCATCCCAGGACTTCCGCTGTGCACCAGGACCCCGGGGTCCAGGCCCATCTCATACAGTGTCTCCAGGCACGCTGGCTCCGGTGACGGCTGAGCCGAACCCAGTAGATCCAGGGTGTAGTAGGTTGGGGCTGTGGTGCTGGCTTCCGTCTCTTCCGGGCTGAGGGGCATATCAAAGAGTAACCCATCTGGCAGGCCTGAGAGGTGGTCCAGGTCAGAGAGGCTGCTGGCCACATTGGTGCCATCTCTGGGCATTAGGCCAGTGCCATCCAGGGACTGGCCCGCCTCCTGGTTCTGCCGGTGCCGCTGCACTTCTGCGTACAGGCTGTCCCTCTGCTTCTTGGACATCCGGCCAAACTTGACCGCTGCAAGGATGAGGATCTGAGATCAGCAGAAAGACTCTGCAACCAGCAGTGGGGCAACATCTGGCCACTGGAGTCCAACAGTATCAGGTAGTATCTTACCCTAGTGGACAAAGCACTGGACACACTCAGAAGACCTGGGTTCTCACCATGGCTCCACCAAAGAGCTGCTCTATCACCTAGGGCAAGCTATTTTCTTACGCATGACCTCAGTTTCCTCATTTATAAAATGGGATTGAATGAGATATTATCTAAGGTCCATTCCAGATGGAATTTCATTCTTAATTCTATGGCCATTTTGATGAAGCACAACACAAAAAGCATTAGACTTAGGCTCAGAAGACCTGTGTTCAAATCCCAACTCTACCAATTACTAGCTATGATCATCCTGTGCTCCAAGGGCCCTCCCAGCCCTGACATTTTGGTTCTAAGGGCCCTACCAATTCTGACATATTATGTTACAAAGGCCTTTCCAACTCTGACATTCTGTGTTCTAGGATTTAGATCATACATATTTAGAGCTGGAAAGACTGTTATAGGCCATCAAATTTTACTTCCTTATTTCACAGATGGGGAAACTAAGGCCAGAGGAGGTAATCTGGTCATACAGTTAATAAGTACCTGAGGCTAGATTTGAACCTAGGCCTTCCTGATTCCAATCTCAGTGCCTTACCCACCAGGCCATCCTACCTCTACCTCTCAAAGGCCTCTGTCTTGTGAGGACTTGTCAAAATCTGACCTCTGCTGGTTTAACCTTCAAGAACCAAGGTTCACCTTTCTCAAGGCCCACACTAGCTGAGGACAGGCTCTATGTATGTTGCCCAAGGGACCACCCTGGATAGGTTTGGAAAGGTTAGCCTTCACTAGGTTAGCTGCAGGGGGATACATTTATTTTTTTCTACCATGATGATAAGTCTCGAAGACTCTCTATGTATAAGAATGAGAGCCATTCCTGAATAGATGAAGAGTAATTAATAGGAAGGTGTCAACAACCACGGGAAAGCCCTTTAGAAGATCAGAGACAATACAGAGATGGGGCACTATGAATGTAGAGCACTGAATACATACAGCCAGACTTGGTTCATATGTTAGTTAGTTTTGCTGAACTGCCTTCTTCCACCCTCATCTTTAAAAAAAACAAAACAAAACTCCATGGAAATTAGAATTTGGAATTGGAAAAACTATGGGAATTTTAGGAATGGGAGAAGGAGGGGTCGCAAATATTTGAAAAGGAAGGATATGTGAGAACAAAGGAAATAAATAAATAAAAACTTTAAAAAACAACAACCAGGTGAAAGAATGCCACAACTCTAATAAGAAAAAGAATGTTAACTAAAATGAGCAGCTCAGAGGTTTTACCTTACTTCAGCAAAGACAGCAGAAAGACAAAAATGGCCCATGTTGGAAGGGCTGTGGGAAGACAGGCCTGAGGACACACTATTGCTAGAGCTATATAGTACTCGAATGATAATAAGAAAGTCACTTAAAGTGTACATATCTTTTGAACTCATGAGACCACTACTAGGGATATAGCACAAGAATTTCAGAGACAGGGGGAAAGGTCTTTGAAATACAAAAATACTTATAACACCACTTTTTTTTTTTTGGTTTTAGCCAAAAACTAGAAGGGAAGAAAGTGTTCATTGATTGGAGAAGGCTTAAACAAATCATGTTTAAACAACAGAATATTATTATTTTGTAAAAAATGTAAATAGGAAGAATTCAAAGAAATTTGGGAAGATATATGTATACACACATATATATGTTTGTATACATATGTGTATATCTATATCTATATATCTGTATAAAAATATTCATACAGAGTAAAGTAAATAGAACCAGGGGAATAATTTACCTAATAACCACAAGAACTTAGAGGAAAACAGCTCAAAAAGACTTCAGAACTTTGATCAGTGCTGTGACCAAAGGTGATACTTCAGAGGACTTGCACTTGACAGTGAAGCATGTCTCCCAACTCTCAGTAGAAAGGTGGTGAACTACATAGGTATCAAATGAAGCATACGATTTCAGACTTAGCCACTGTCCTGATCTGTTTTACTTGATTATCCTAATCTGTTACAAGAAAGGGTCCCATTTGAGGGGTGGGAGGGAATCATTGAGAAGTCATTCTCCTTGTAAGCCATTCCCCAAGTAAGCTTCTCCTGGCAGGGCTTACTTTGTATCCAGTAATTAGCACGATGCCTGGTACGTAATAGGCCCTTAATGAATGCTTGCTGATTCTTTGATTGGAAAGCTACAGTGGTGTAAAAAAAGGTCATCTGGAAACATTTTTTTTAATTTTAAGAACTACTAAATCAGAGGGATTGAAATCTGCATTGATGGGAGAAATACCTATACCACGAAAACAATAAATCCTTGAAATATAATAAGAATTGCTCTTATTATTTTTATTCTGTATTCTGGAATTCTATATTTTATCTTAGGGCCCTCCCAGCTCTGACAATTTATGTTCTAATAACCCTCCCAGCTCTGACAATTTACATTCTAAGAACCCTCTCAGCTCTGACATTCTGGGTTCTAAGGGCCCTCCAAACTCTGACATTCTGGCTTCTAAGGGCCCTCTCAGCTCTGATATCCTGTGTTCTAAGGGCCCTCTCAGCTCTGACATTCTGGGTTCTAAGGGCCCTCTCAGCTCTGACATTCTGGGTTCTAAGGGCCCTCCCAGCTCTGACAATTTATGTTCTAATAACCCTCCCAGCTCTGACAATTTACATTCTAAGAACCCTCTCAGCTCTGACAGTCTGGGTTCTAAGGGCCCTCTCAGCTCTGACAGTCTGGGTTCTAAGGGCCTCTCAGCTCTGACAGTCTGGGTTCTAAGGGCCCTCTCAGCTCTGACAGTCTGGGTTCTAAGGGCCCTCTCAGCTCTGACAGTCTGGGTTCTAAGGGCCCTCTCAGCTCTGACAGTCTGGGTTCTAAGGGCCTCTCAGCTCTGACAGTCTGGGTTCTAAGGGCCCTCCCAGCTCTGACAGTCTGGGTTCTAAGGGCCCTCTCAGCTCTGACAGTCTGGGTTCTAAGGGCCCTCCCAGCTCTGACAGTCTGGGTTCTAAGGGCCCTCCCACTCTGACAGTCTGGGTTCTAAGGGCCCTCCCAGCTCTGACAGTCTGGGTTCTAAGGGCCCTCTCAGCTCTGACAGTCTGGGTTCTAAGGGCCCTCTCAGCTCTGACATCCTGTGTGCTAAGGGCCCTCCTAGCTCTGATGTTCTCACATTCCATGCGCTCAGTGATGGCCGAAGCACTCAGTGACATGAGCTCACTCACCGTCTCGCGACATGCCCAGGGCTAGGCACTTCTGCAGGCGGCAGTGCTGGCAGCGATTTCGGCTGGTGCGGTCAATGGGGCAGTTTCGCTGGCGGGAGCAGGAATAGCTGGCATTGTTCTGCTGGCTCCTTCGGAAGAAGCCCTGTGGCCCGGAAGGAGTGGTTGAAGAAAGGCCAGGACCAGGCTTCTAGGCGTCCCACCTTAGCTAGAGCTGATCTCTGACAGGAAGATCGGTCAAGTGGCATTCCCACCCCTGGTTCTTTCTCCCTCTTAAGCTGGTTATTGAAGAGGGAGGCAGGAAACTAACTACAAAGTGGTCACAGACCTGTCACAACAGAACGTGCACCAGAATTTCCACAATGATGGCCCAGAGCCCTCAAAAGGTAAAGGGAACATCGTGGAGAAAAGCAGAGAAATAAATCATTTCATCAAGCTGTTTTTTGTCCCAAGGAGTTGAAAATAAATTATTTGGTGTGTAAAAGGGGGCAAAATACTGGGACTCAGACTTTGGGTCCTGTCATCTTCACTTTGTCCCCAGCCCTCCCTTACCTTACAGCCTTCACAGGTGATGACACCATAGTGGATTCCTGAGGACTTGTCCCCGCAGATCTTACAGGGGATCACTTCAATCTGAGCTGCAGGGGAACACGGCCGCACATGTAGCAGAAGGCATAGCGAAGGAGGAAAGGGTGGTAGGCAGGTGCTTTCCCACACGGTCAGGGGCCCAGACCCTATATTCCCCACAAGCATTGCTAGAGAGAGTTGGGTGGTGGGTTCCCTGTGGGACTGGAGATGATGGGACAGACAGGTTCTGATTCAGAATCTTCCACTAACTAGCTAGACAGCAATGGGCTAATCGATTAGCCTCTCTTGGCCTCCCTGTGTACCTGCCTCTCAAGGTTGCTAGCTGGGCTTTGGGGAGCAGTCCGTCTCCAGAGATGGAGCTTAGCCTCAAGCTGGAACTAAGTCTGGGAGAGAGCTGGCTCTAAGGGGAAGCCGAGTCCCCTTTGGGCTGTTTCCAGGGAATCCCTTTTTACAACTTGATTGTCTGTATTTCACCCCTGGGCCCAGAATCCCCAGATGTGGTTGTAATTCCCCCAATGACCAGGAGGTGCCACCCTGACCCCATACCCCACATACCCCAAGCTTTGAAAGAAGGAAGAAAGGAAGTCTAAGCTTTCTTTTCTTTAAAGCCCCAAGCAACACCTAGGAATGGCCTATGTCAGCTGGGCACCATGACAGCAGTATGTAGTTGGTACGGAAAAAACCAGGAGGGTTCCTCCCAGCCCTGTCATTCTCTTTTCTGAGGGCCCTTCCACCTCTGACATTCTGTGTTCTAAGGGCCTTTACAGCTCTGACATTCTGTGTTCTAGAGGCCCTCCTAGCTCTGACATCCTGTGTTCTAGGGGCCTCCCAGCTCTGATATTCTGTGTTCTAAGGGCCGTCCTAGCTCTGATATTGTGTGTTCTAGGGGCCCTCCCAGCTCTGACGTTCCATTTTTTCTCTCTTCTCCTCTCCTCCCTCCCTCCTCCCTCCTCCACTTCTTCCTTCCCCCAACATAGACTGACACATAGCACCTTATAACTCCAGCTTGCCTGAGATTATATAACTGTAGTTATATAAAGGGCAGCTGTTAAATCTATCTGTGACATCATTCTGAGAAGGGGTGGGGGTGGGGGGCCAGGGAGGGGCGGGACGGATCCTGATTGGGCCTCCAAGCTGGGGGCGGTCGTCCCTGGGCCAGCTGTCCTGCCCAGTCACTTACCCACTCACTGTCCCACTGACACACTTCTGCCAGGGACACTGCTTGTATAACAGGCAGTGTGGGGAGATTAACCCTATCCTTCCCAAGGCTCAATCCGCTCCCTCTAGGGTGTGGAAGGGACTTCAACACCCCTCCTTTTTACAAACCCTGGTAAAAGAGCAGAGGATACCCTAGGGCCGAGCTTGGTTGACTTGGCCTGTCACTATTTCCTACCAGGTCCAACCCGGGTAAAGTGTAAATGCTTCTAGGGCAGGACCTATTTTTTCCCCCTTTGTATCACTATACAGTGTGGTTGATAAATGTTTGTTGAGTGAAATTGTCCTGGGGAGATGTACTTGTCCACTGACTGGCTGTGCACTGTGTTGGCCAGGTCACTTAACTTCTCTGGGCACTGCTGTCTTCTAAAAGGAAAGGGTAAGACTTCTGAGGTTTCTTTTCAGTTCTCATAATCTCTGCACCTCAAGCCACAGAGTCCCCCCCCCCCATTTTACAGAGCAGTCTGGTGGATAAGGGCACTGTGGTTGGAGTCAGAAGTGTCAAATCCAGCCCCAGACAAGGCCTAGCTGTGTGACCCTGGGCAAGTCACACCTGAACCTCTCCCAGCCTCAGGTTGCTTATCTGTAAAATGGGGATAAAGTGCTAGATAAAATCTAGATAGCAATTGCTGCCCCCCCCAACACAAAACTAGTAGGATATAGGTTTCCAGTGGGTAGGGTCTGAAAGGTAGGATCTTCAACACAAAAGGACAGTTTTCCCAGGTTTAAAGGTGACAGTGTCCCTGCACCCCAAGGCTGGCTCAAATGTAAATATCCTATACAAATGCAAAGTGTCTTTGGAAGAAGCTGAGCATTGCAATCTGGGGGGCTTTGCAGGACCAGCTGGGAGGGGAGGGAGAAATGCCATTGAACTCTTGAGATTGGACTGGATGGATGACCCCAAGGTTCAATTTAATTCAAATCAACAATCACTTATTAAATGCCTAGAATGTGCCAGGCACTGTGCTGGGGGGATATAAAGACAAAAAACCCTCAAAAACATACAAGAAAAAACAGAATCACAGGATCAGAGACTTAGATTTGGCAGTGACCTCAGAGGTAAGCTAGTGAAACCTCCTCAGTTTTCAGTTGAGGAGACTGAGGCTGGGAGAAATTGGATGATTTGCTCAGTCTCACAGTTAGCAAGTATCTGAGGTGGCATTTGAACTCAGGTCTTCCTGACTCTAGGTCAAGGCTCTCTGGCACTATTTACTACATCACTCTGCCTCTCAGAATCCTAGAGTAATGTAAGAATTGGGGGGGGGGATACTCAGATCACACAGTAAACAGTGATGTGGGTCTCGAAGGATCCTTATAAATTCCTCCTCCAGGAAGCCGTTCCTTAGGCCTCTAGTAATCTGTAACATCTCACATGCATACAATGACTTTAGGTTTACAAAGTGCTTAAGTATGATTTCATCTGATCCTTATAACTGGGAGAGCTTCTCTCCATTATTATCAGCTTCCCACCTTTCCTCTCCTTAGGATCTCACCTCAGGCTTTATTTCTTTTCCCATGCGCTCACCAAGAAATAATGAATGATAGTGGTATATCATAATATAGTGGATAATAATAATAGTGAAATAATAAATAATATAATAAAATAATGGTGAAATAGATTTGTGTCTCATCTTCCTCCTAGACTTGAATCTCCCAAAGAATAGAAACTTTTGTTTTAGCTATATTTTATCTCCCCCAATGTTCCATAATCAAGGGCTTTAAAATGTTCATTGAATGAATTTTCAGTGTCAGACCTGGGGAAAGGGGCCTTGAAACACAGACTGGGGTTATCAGAAGTAGTCAGGCCCTTAGAGGTCATTCAACCCAACCCATATATTTTACAGAGGAGCAAAGTAGGCCATGGAGGAGGAAGATTTGTACATAGTGTAGTCCACGAAAATGCGGCAAGTTAGGGGTCGTGCCGGGACTAGAATCTGCGCTGCTGCTATCCGGGCCAGGGTGGCTGCTGCTCCCCCAGGCAGCCTGGAAACCGTTCCTCCCTCTCTTGGGTGGGGTCCCCATTCCCTTTGGGCCCCGACAGAGTAAGGGCCTGGGAGGGGTGTACCTGGCCCTGCACCAGAGGCTGACTCCTGTTGACGTCAGGAGGGCAGAGTCCTTGGGTGAGAGGGAGGGGGAACCTCCTTGCTCGTGCTAGAAGAATAGATAGATAGACTCAAAGACTCTAGTTCCTTTAGCCTGGGTAAAGAGGCTCTGATCTTGGGCATCATCTTTGAATCCTCTGCCTTTTCATGTTCCCAATGGAAAGAGCCCTGGAGTTGTAGTCAAAAGACCTAGATTCAAATCCTTCTTTTTCTACATAAAACCTGTGAAACTAGAGGGAAATCATGTTCTTTCTCTGGGCCTCAGTTTCCTTATCTTAAAAATAAAGGGCTTGGACTTGAAATTTTCTGTTTCCTTCTAGCTCTACAGCCCATGATCCCTCTCTGTGCCTCTATTTCCTCCTTTGTCAAATGGGGACCTCAAGAAGCTTACATTCTAGCAGTGGAAACAACATATGCATATATGAGTATACAATATATATAAAAGGTAATTTTTGGAGTGGGGGTCCAGGGGAGGAATCTGAAAAGGGTCAAATGAAATAACGGATGGTGTTGCTCAGTCCTTTTCAGTTGTGTCCAACCCTCTGTGACCCCATTTGGGGTTTTCTTGACAAAACCACTGGAGTGGTTTGCTATTTCCTTCTCCAGCTCATTTTGCAGATGAGGAAACTTAGGCAAACAGGATTGAGTGATTTGCCCAGGGTCACATAGCTAGCAAATGTCTGAGGCCAAATTTGAACTCAGGAAGATGAGTCTTCCTGACCCTAGGTCCAGGACTCTATCCACTATATGGTAGAGCTTTATAAATTGTAAATGCGACTTACAAACCTGAGGAAGTATTATTAGGCATAGAATATAAACACCCAGGTGAGCACACTTCTATGACGAGGTATGCCTGTGTAGGTGAACACACAGGTATCTGTGTCTTTGTGGTTGAACAGGTACCTACATGCACATGGGCAGACGTGTTTATGTGCCTTTGGGTAAGTGTCCGTGTGCTATTAACGAAAAGGCCTTCAAAAGTCTGATCAACTCCTGAATGGACATTGCGAACTCTAGGTTTCCTTTTTGGGGAACACTTTCCCTTCTCCTCTAGTTTCCCTCAGATCAAGGGCTACCTCCTACCAGAGGCTTTTCCTCATCTCCCCCAGTAACTAGCACCCTTTCCTCTACCCCTAAAAATGCTGAGGGTTTCCTTATCTATCTACATGTTTAATCCCCTCAGCAGACTGTTACCTCCTTGAGGGCAGGGCCTATTTCTTTTTTTTTTTCCTTGGCCTTTTTAATACCATAAACTAACAGGCACCTGGTAGGTGTCTAACAAATACACATTGCATGACTAAGGTAGCCGTGGGGAGATCAATTGGGAAATGACTGAACATAGTATGGTATATAAATGGGGTGGAAAACTATCTCGCTGGAAGAAATGAGGAAAAAGAGGGTTTCCAAGAAAAATTTGAAAAATTTTATAGAAAAATAATATAGAAAAATTTGTCTGAACGGATGAAGAGGGAAGTAAGCAGAGCCCAAAGAATGGCTTTGACTACAGGGTGTCCCAAAAGGATTAGGGAAGTTTTAAACTTTAAAGACTCGAATGAATTTTAAGACTAAAGCTGTACTAAGACTTTTGGGACACCAGGTATAACATCAATATTACAAAAATGAACAATTTAGAAGACTTTTTAGTGATGAAGAATGAGATGAACAGAATCAGGAGAATAATTTATACAAATGACAACAATCCTGTAAAGACAATTTTGAAAGCTGAGTAAGAG